CAAAAAGGACAAATAAATTTATCCTGGAAGAATTATAGATCCTTAGAATATATGCTCTTTAGAAGTTGGAATGATATGACTTTAACTCACATATATTTTTAACAACTTAATTAATTAATTAATTAAGTATCTAATTAATATCTCACACAATTCAGTAGTTCAATCATATCAAGAATTGTACAATCATTACCACCATCAATTTCAGAACATTGTCTTTCCCCCACCCCCTAACTAAACTGCCTTTAAAATGAGTTGTGTCCTAGACACACCTTGAGTTCTAGTGCATACTCCCTCTCCCACTTTCCTTGTTTACTCCAAAAGTCCCCTCACTCTTTTCATCTCCCCCCGCCCCTAAATCCCAACAAAACCCTTGCATCAGTTATTATTTCTATGCATCCACTCCTTCTGTGCTAAATCACATATTTTGGACATGTGATCAGGTAAGACCAGACTCTGGAGAAGGTCGTCCTGTTTGGTAAAGTAGAGGGTCAACAAAGTCGAAGAATGCCTATCAGAAGGATTGACACAGTGGTTACATCTTTGGGACAAAACATAGTAAGAATTGTGATGATGGGACGAGACTGGGCAGTATTGAATTCTGTTGTGCATAGAGTCACTCTCAACAGCATTAGGCATTTTACATTTTTCTAGCTATTGTTAACTGATGAAAACTTTGGAAACATTTTGGCAGTGAGAGCATTTGGAAGGGAGAGAATGTTATCCGCTGTCACATTTCCATGATGTCATATAATTGTGGACGTATTTCAAAATGTCTAATGGTTATTTCTAGATGCCTTTTATATGGTGTGAAAAATTTGCCACATTTTACTATATCTGCTTTATATCAGCTTCTTTTCACTAGTCAAATAAATATTCATTATACAGCCAACTTCCTCATTTTCACAAAGAAATCATCTTATGAATTATATTTGATTTTAAGCATGTGAAGAGATCATAGCTGTATTTTTTAACTGTGCCAAATCACCAAATGTATTTTAATCTCTCTTTTTCCACTGCATATGGGCTAAAAATCTATGATTGACTTAGTAGATTGTAACTCTGGGATTCTGTAAATATGTCCCATATACGCTTTCAGTAATAATAGTAACTCAGTATTTCTGCCCCCAAATAAAGAAACAAACAAAAGATGCCCATATGTCTCTTACCCAAGATCCTTACCTTAAAGAAACTAAGTGGTTCTAATTAATTCAAACCCATTTTTTGTCAGCTTGTCATGCTGTGCAGATAATTTGGGTGCTGGAAAGATATGAAATGCAAAAAATGAAAACCAATGTCTTAGGAATTAATGAGCTAAAATGGACTAGTGTTGACCGTTTTTAGTCAAGAATAATAAGTTTTACTATGCAGTGAATCATGGCCATCAAATTCCAAAGGAATGGCATTTTGTTCATCATCAGAAAGAACATTTCAAGATTATCTTAAAATACGACGCTTTCTGTTGTAGGATATTATCTATACACCCAGAAGGAAGACCAGTTAATGCAACTATTATCCAAATTTATGCACTGAACACTGAAATGAATGATGAAGATATTAACAAATTCTACCAAACATTCCATTGATCAAACATTCAATCAAGATGCAGTGATAATTACTGGTGATTGGAATTCAAAAGTTGGAAGCAAAGAGGGAAGATCAATAGTTGGAAAATATGACCTTGATGATAGAAAAAAAGGGAGATTGCATGATAGAATTTTGCAAGATCACATCTTTTTCAGCATAAATGACAACTACAGCATGGACCTCTCCAGATGGAAAACACAAGAATCAATTTAACCGTATCTGTGGAGAGAGACACTGTTTTCCCATACATTGTCGTCAGTGAAAACAAGGCCAGGGGTCGACTGCAGAATTGACCATCAACTGCTAATATATACATACAAGAGCCAAAATATAACTTTAAGTGTATCTCACCTGAATTTAGATTACATTTAAAGAACAGATTTGCAATACACTAATGACTGAAGATTTGATTTTTGGTTTTAGATGTTTCTTGTTTTGTTTATCCCTAGACGTTCTATTGTGATGAGTTGTGAAATGGTACCAAAAACATCATACACGAAGAAAGAAAAGATCAAAGGGGATGTCAGAAGAGATTCTAAAACTTGATCTTGATTGCGGAGAGGTTAAAAGAAATAGAAAAAATGATGACGTCAAAGAACTAAACAAAAATCTTCCAAGGGCAACTCTGGAAGACAAAGTAAAGTTTTACAGTGAAACATGCTAAGACTTGGTGTTAGAAAACCCAGAGGGAAACCACAACTGGTATTTTTCAGGCTGAAGCAACTGAAGAAAAAAATTCAAGCCTCTAGATGCAATGTTGAAAGATTCTGTGGGCAAAATATTGAATACTACACAAAGTATCAAAAGACAATGGGAAAAATAATCAGGATCATTGTACAAAAAAGTGGTCTGTGTTCAAACATTTCAAGAGGTAACATATGATCAAGAGCCAGTTATAGTGAAAGTAGAAGTTCAAGCTGCACAGACGGCATTACTGGAAAATAAGGCCTCAGGAAATGACCAAGGACCAACCGAAATATTTCACAAACTGAGGCAATGCTGGAAGCACTCACTAGTCTATACCAAGAAATGTAAAAGACATTTACCTTGACAACCAGGTGCAAGGGGATTCATAATTGTGTCAATTTCTTTTTTTTTCTTTTTTTAAAAATCATTTTATTGGGGACTTGTACAATTCTTATCACAATCCATACATCCATCCATTGTGTCAAGCACATTTGTACATTTGTTGTCATCATAATTCTCAAAATATTTGCTTTCTATTTGAGCCTTTAATATCAGCTCCTCATAGGTGATCTAATAGCATTAGAAAAATATAAACCAATATCATTAATATCCCATGAAAGTTAAATTTTTCTACTGATTTTAAAATGCTTTCAGCAGTACATCAACAGAGAACTGCCAAAAGGGGGATTCAGAAGAGAACTTGCAACTAGAGCCATCATTGCTGGTGTCAGATGGTTCTTGGATGAAAGCAGAGAGTTCCAGAAAGATATATACTTGTATTTCATTGACTATGCAAAGGCATTTGACTTTGTTGATTATAATCACCTGTGGATAACATTGAAAAGAAAGAAAATTCCATAACACTTCATAGTGTTATGATGAGGAACCTGTACATAGACCAATAGATAATTGTTTGAACAAAACAATAGGATACTGCCAGGTTTAAAAACAGGAAATGAATGTATAAAGGTTGTTTTTTCCCCCACCATCTTTCTCAATCATTTACTGAGCAAAATAATCTGAGAAGTTGGATTTGGCATCAGGACTAAAGACTTGCTAACAACCTGCATATGTTGACTGAAGGTGAGGAGGAATGGAAACATTTACTGATGAAGTTTAAAGACTACCGACTTCCGTATATATTACAACTCAATGTAAAGAAAATTGAAATCCTCAAAACTCTATCAAGGTGAGGATATTAGATAAATGGAGAAAAGATTGAAGCTGTTAATATATATTTTTTACCTGATGCACAATCAATGCTCATGGAATCAGCAGTCAAGAAATCAATGGTGGATTGTGTTGGGAACATCTGCTGCACAAGATAGATCTCTTTAAAGTATTAAAGAATCAAGATGTCACTTTGAGGATTAAGTCACACCTGAGTCAAGCCATGGTATTTTCAGTTGTCTCATAAACAACTAAGCTGAGCACTGAATAAGTTTGACCAAAAAATATTGATACCATGGATTTCCAGTTGAATAAACAAATCTTTTTTTTTTTTTTTAAGAAAGTACTGCCAGAATGCTCCTTAGAAGCAAGGGTGGTGTGTTAGGCTGTGTTCTCTAGAGAAGCAAAACTAGCAATATAAAATTTATATATTTGCGTCATATTTATCAGTACATAAATATATATTTATATCAAAATAGCTCAGACTATTGCAGAAGCTGGTAAGTCTAGTCCAGGTCAAGTCTGTGGGTCAGATGTTATGCAGGAGGCTTCTCCTGGCTCTTGTAGCTGTGGGGGCTGAGAAACCGGAAAGCAGGAAGACTTCAGGGTGGTGAATGTGGATGCAGGTGAATCCAAGGTCAGAAGGTCAACCTTCTGGCTGTTGATGGCTCCCAGGATTGGTGGACAATATGGGGTGAGGGCGGGGAGGGGGGCCTTGGCACAAATGCAAAGATCACTGAGCCATTTGCAGAAGCCAGATCCAGCAAGAAAGGAAGAAACTCTCGGTAGTGTCTACTCATCTATCAAGCAGTCAACACCCTTGGGGAAACATCATCAAGGTTGTGACCTGAGTCAGGGGTAGCACTCCTCCCTAATTTTCCCACAAATGCTTGGCTGCTCACAGAAAATCCCATGATGGAGTTTATTACATTATGTTAAACATCACGAGGAAGGTCTCAACTGCCAAATTATTGTGAATCTTGGTGCAGCCAAGTTGATGAAAAACCTATCACAGGTGACAAGTCTGTCTCACATCCTCAGGAGAAAAGAGTCCCTGGAATAGGACATCAGACTTGGTAAAATGGAGGGTGGGGGGAAATGAAGAAGATCTTCAATGGCATGGATAGACACGGTGGCTTCAAACATAGGGTCAAAATAATATTGTTGAAGCCACTCTGTCAATAGGCTCAAGAAGAATTACACATGCAAACCTGGGCAGCATTTCGTTCTTCTGTACATAAGGTTGCTCTGAACAGAGTTCATTTGGTAGCACCTGATAACAACAGCAGTGAACTCAAGTGAATGGGCAGTCATAAATGCTTACAGAATATAAGAAATGTAATTTATCATGTGCAGTATTGATAGTATTAGGTATGTGCCTATTATAATTGCAAGAAAATATGAAAAACTAACATATTTCTTCCGATGCTCACCCAGTTCGTCTTCACTTCACTTTACTGATGTAAATCCCAAATTGGAACATATTGACTCCTTTGTTTATTTTTTGAGAATTGCATTTCAAGGCCAGAAGCTTTGTTTCAATCTCTTCTCTCTTCCAGGAACTTCTGGGACACGCCTGGAAGAACTACACTGCCATCCTTTTCACCCATGCAGAAAAGACGCAGGCAGCTGGGCTCAGCGAAGAAGAATATATCCAGGGCGCCCCTGAGACACTGTCAACATTACTAAATTCTATTCAGCAAAGATTTGTTTTCCTGTATGCGAATGGAGAGTCATTGAATGAACGGAGAATACCAATCTTAAAGAGAATCATGGAATTTATAAAGGAAAATTGCTACCAAGTCCTTACTTTTAAATAAAATTAAAGTGAAAGAAGAAAATAAGCATTGGATTTTGGAGTCAGGAGACCTGGTTTCAAAAATGCTTATGAATATGAGTATGTATCATCAGAACTCCCACTCTCTGCTGCTGGGGGTACCTTGGTAATACCACGTAGGGAAAACTGTTCAGCTCGTATCTACTAAATAATAGTGAGGGTGTAAGATCCCTAATACAAACCTGATGGCACAGCAGTTCCTCTGCCAAATGTACAGACAACAGACATGTGTACTTTGTATACTAGAAGACAAAAACACTCCTGGAAATTCCTAATAGCTACAAACCTGAAACTACCCAAATGCCCATCAGCAGTAGAATAGATAAGTAACTGTGGTATATTACCACATGGAATAGTACAGTGATGAAAATTAGCACACTACTGCTCCATGCAATAATATGAATGAATTACCTAAATGAAAGATAGAAAATGCCAGACATAAAGCACACTTGTTGTTTTTCCCCCTGAATGTTCAAATAGTCACACACAAAGTGCACATATACACATAAACATATTTCGAGCACTTTAACTTTTCCCCCATATAAAGTTTTCATACTACATCCTCTACAGTATGCTGTCCCGCCTCCCCCTCACTACCACCTCATATAACGCCCCCCAGTTACCAAACATAATTCAAATTCATTTTTTTAAAAGTTTGCATAGGGTTCCATGTTGCACACATGTCAGTTTATCTAGCTATTTGAGATCGTTTATTGTGCTAGCCTGGCCAATAAATACAAGTGGGATTAACTAAAGGACAGAGAGATAAATGGCTCGGCGAGCCTCGCCTTTCTTGTCTCTTGCTCTTTGATCATTGGACCAGTGTGTGGCTGCCTTGCTTGTTCTGTGCCTCAATGTA